TCCACTGGTGCACAACATCAAGGAGCAACTGCGATCGTTGCAGGCAATGATAAATCATTGCAGTGCTTGTGTCAATATATGGAATCTGACAGGTACCCTGATATGAACACAAGAATGCACATCACTACTTCAGCGATGAGCAGGTACCGGCGCCCCTCTGCAAATGGGCAACTCGCAACACCCCCCTCCCTAAGGGTTGGTTGGGTGGGTAAATTCCTTGCTGCACTTCAGCAAGACTCTGGCTGCTACAAAGTGGTTGATCGTCGTCTAACCCCTGGGACCCCAACCTCACAATCTCTAAGCTTTCTGAACTTAGCATAGTCTGGACAGTTTGGAGCCTGGGCAGAGTGCCGTCACATACACCAGCCATGAACTCAAGGAACGTTGGTGGTGGACCCAAAGGGGCTACGAGACGTTAAAATCCGTTTGCATTATCGCCCAACTCCGTGGTGGCAAATTTCAGGGTTCACGCCGCTGGTGGGAGGTGGGAATGCTTGGGAGGCGCCTGGGGTGGGATGGAAAGCAAGGAAAACGCAAGCACTACAGTTGTGGTACTTTCGCGCGTATGCATCCCTTCAGTCCCTCGCCCTGGTACGTTGCTATCATCTTGACGAAAAGCAAACGGTTAGTCATCCCAGAACCTCGGTCGCCATCACGTACGCATTCCACCCATCACATCGGACAGCTCCCCCTCCACGCGCCCACGGCTCAGCCCCAGAACCTGTGACCGACACGCCCACCACACGGCGCCCAGCCGGGGCGCGGGCGTCCGAGGCGCAGCGCACCCGGCCCGAGGCATCAACACAGGCGGCTTAAGCTAGCTGTCTACACCGACCCCGGGCGCTCAAACACGCTCCGACGTCCATCCACCAAGCCCGCTTTCGCGTATGGTCCCCCTGTGAAAGGGGCGCACATTTCCATGCGCGCCCGGCTGGCAACGACTTCAGCTGTGTCTCCCCCGGCGTAACCTCGGCACGGCTTTCAGACCACCGTCTCCCACCCGCACCTCTTCCCCAAAGGCTGACCCCTCCCACCGGCCCCTTGGCACGGAAGCGAGGACATACACATACATTCAAGGCGGACCCACAAATGTCAGCCCCCACCGGCACTCACCGTCGAAGCCTTGCGCCCCGGGACCGGGAGCGGCATCCGGGCCAGGCGCGGCAAGCGGGATCGCGGCCCCTGGAGCAGCGGCCAAGCCCGTGCCAGTCTCGATGCCCGGCGCTAAGGACTGGCCCAACCCATCCTGGCCGCTCACGCCCGTCCAAGGGCCCAAAGCCGCCAGGCACAACAGGGCGACGGGGAGGATCTTTGCCCAGCCCCTCATAGCTTCGCCTCTCTCGACGGGCGTCCGCTGGACGAGTTTGCCGCCCCTTTTTTTCAGGTGCCCCGCCTCGACCGTCCTCCTTTTCTGGTGTGGGGGACCGCAGGCGGCACCGCCCGTTATGATTTTGCTTGCGGGACGGGAAGGAGTGGGGAACTGGTCATTGTCCAAGGACGGGGTGACAGATCCACATCAACGCTGCCCGACGGAGTGCAGCGGTCGACCAATGGGCGCTGGGCTGGCAGGCTCCCCGCCCGGAGGCTACCAGGGCTGCGGGATTCCCGCATGTCATTCGGTTCTTCATGTGATGTGGATAATGTGACTTTTCAACTGTCGTTACTGCTCCGGTGCTTACTAATGTGGCCGGTAAGTTCTGGCCAACTGTTCTTCTGTCGCCTTGCCAAATGAAGGTTTTCGCCGCCTGACATCCGCTTGGTGGCAGCGCCTCTGCCTGTGTGCGTACGCAGAAGATCTGCTGCGTACTTGCCGCTGTAGGACGCCGCCTCACGCCCGGCCATCACAACCCAAGGAGGTCGTTTGCCTAATGTGTACGGACCTCGGACTCTGGCAGCGGAATGTGTCCCAACAGCGCTGCAAGTCGCCAAGTCCCCCCTGTTACGCGCATCGCAGCAGCACCCGCATATCGTCTTGTGTGCCGTTCATTTGGACGGCTGCCCGGCAGCTTTGCGTGATGTATTTTGTCAAGGCTGGGCAACTGAAGTACGATCGGAACATTCATACTTGAGATTTTGGTTTGACATCGGCGGCAAATCGGCGGTTACACTGCAAGAGTGTGCGACAGAAGGGTTTGCCAGCAGCAACAGCGATCAGTGCGTAATTGAAGGCGACTGCTTTCAAACGAGCCCACGCTGAAGTGACAAGCTCCCTGCCTAAATCACAACATCAGCGCAGCTTTGCGCAGCCGCTCTCTGGTCAGACTCGATCAGACACTGCGAATCACAGCTCTCTTTTGTCGCAAGCCAAACTCCACGTGTATCGCCGCTGCGGAACACCCATCACACTGGGAACATTTCACACATTTTCTGTGATGGCACCATCACATTCTGGTGGCGCCGACGTCCAAACGTTACCCAAACGTAACCATGCCCATCAGTTGGGACCCCATTTGTCCCGCAAGTCGTTAGGCTTGGCATTCCAGGTTATCTTCAAGGCACACCTTTTCAAATCGTTGGAAATTGGCCACCTCAGCGTAACTCTCAAAATTTCTCTTTCACCACAATCTCAACATACGCCCTATCGCATATGCAGCCGCACAGCACATCTAATTGTACTAGAGGATCTTCTCATACTTCGAAGCGGTACCAAAACTGCCCTGCAGCAGATCGTATGCAGAGACCTCTATTGCATTTTTCATCAAACTCAAACTGTTGAACCAGATGAGAAGACGCATGTCGAGACAAGTTTATATGAGAATATTGAGAACGCGGTCAAATCCGCGCTGTGACTGATCCGACATTCCACATTCCCCGTCATACCTCGAATGGCTGATCCAGCATTCCAAGGAACCGACACCAGACCTGGACTTCATTCGTTGGATTTTCCATGGGAAATGCATGAAAAGCTTATACGGGTGTATGAGATGTACAAAATTTCATGTTGCGGTGGTGAAGAATCGGCCCAGATTTGGACCTTTTTTTGCTTCCTTATTTCAAACTTTGGGCATCAGACAGCACGTCCATGGGTGCTTGACCTAGAATCGACTTAGCGGTCAAGCACCATGGCCAGAACGTTGATCATCATGGTCTAGTGACCAATGAGATGAAGCCATGTGAACGCACAAGTTGATTTCCTCAATCAACACGTTTCTCCCTAATGTTCCACATGCCTCGATCTCATGGCTCCCAGGGTTTAAGGCCCCAACACGTTCGTTATCGAGTTTCCTAGGAAAAGGGCTTTCGTTCTCTTGTTCGCTTGGCCTCACAATTACCACCGTTTTGCTGAGTGGATCACTTGTGCTTGATGGTCAGCGACCGGTATGCATTTCAAAATGTGATTAGGTGCTTGAGATGACGCCAAAAACCACTGCTGCACAAAATATTGATATGAAGCATACAAAGGTTGTTCATGCCGAGATGCCAGTATTCCCGGTGTGGCATTGGATTGGTAGCTTCCTAGCCCATGCGTATTGTTTTGCTTGAAGATTGCTAGTTTATGGCAAAAAGAGAAAGTTATGTTTCATGAAAGTTTCTTGAAGCCATTTCTTTGGATGAATTAAGGAATCGCTTGACCTAAATTGGTTCCTGAGCTTTTGATTACACTCGTCTTCATTGGGGATAGCATGAGCTTTATGAAAGAAAGCCATGCAGTTCAGAGAGAGATGGTTATGGTGTCTTGTCCGCAAGGTGCAAAGGTGTCTTGTGCGGAATTTCTGGGTGTGTGTTGCCCGAACTTTGTAGCATTGTGGCCGCCCTTTACTTCAATTTGGCTTTCAAAACATAGTTGTACCCGCGTTTTGAAGTGGGGGCGTTTGGAAGTGACCGCATGATCATGATCTGAATATTCAGAAATCGGGTGTGTCAACGGTGGATTTGGAATATGCGGAACAAGCTTCTCTTTCTCGCCTCACCGCTCTGTTCGCGGTGTTGGTGGAGGGCCTACGTACTAGAGGTGGCCACCCGGATCCGTTAATAACGGACAAAGGTTAATTCCGTTAATTATTCCGTTAATTAACGGAAAATAACGGAAAAAGACAAAAATTAACAAAAATTAACGGCTTTTTTGGATTTTTGGGGGATTTTTGGGTTTTAGTCATGCTTATAGTCTATGGAATTCGCTATGAGAGAGTATGTTTGTATTTTATTTCAACCTCTACATACTAGATTTTCAACTAGCCGCAGTTGTTGTGATTTTTTGGGGTTTTTTTTCGATTTTTTTGGATTTTTTTCGTTTTTTCTGAAATTTTCTCCCTTTTTCTATAACGGAATTTAACGGACAGCTGATAAAAATTAACAAACCGGATTTAACGGACCGGATGGCATCTTGAGTGGCCACCTCTACTACGTACTAGTGGCCCATGCACCGTTCTGATTTCTGAGCAAAAAGATATTTGTGGCATCCTTCGCACGTTGGATGCACTTAAATGATGAGGTGGTATGTGACTGAATTGTTGTATGGGCGTTTATGATTGATGATGGTCCTTGAGGTTCGACTAGGTGGATGGGTGGTTGTGGAAACATCAAAAATCTGGTCGTGGTTGCTGCCACTGTTGGCGAGGAGAATTCTTGTTCGAACCTTGAGTCGGACAAGCAAACATGTAAGCCCGAGTTGTGTCTGGGTGTGGCCTTGCGTGCGGCCGTGTGCCAACGCCGTTGAAGCATCGGCGACAGTGGATTCGCGCTTCCTGTGTGCACTCAAAGGGACCAATTTGAGTCACATCAACCACCTTCCCTTCAATACTATATTTTCTTTGCTTCTCTTTTATCGGCAAATATGGCTCTCTCAAGGCATCATCGTATGCAGTGCGTACAGTGGATCTACGGTAGCTGCCATCGTTTGCCGGAAGCGTCGGTGATCCACCCAGTGACACTATAACCGTCACGTTGCGTCACAAACAAAAAGAATCCTCACCAAACAGAAACGGCGCGAAAAATGCGATCATCCTTGCTCCCCTCCACATCATCACCGTCATGCCGCCTTGGTTCGGTGGCGCACAGGCATGGCTCCCGACGCGGAGGTCAAGGCGTGGGTCTCCGACCGCCTCCACGACCTGCTGGGCTACTCCGAGAGCAGCGTGGCCGGCTTCATCGTCGCCGTCGCCAAGAAGGCCGCCGGGCCGGACGAGCTCGCGGCCAGCCTGCGCCAGCAGGGCCTGCCCGCCACCCCCGGCACAGCGCAATTCGCGCAGGAGCTCATCGCCCGCCTGCCCCGCCGGGCCGCCGCGGAGCCGGCGCAGAGGGCGCGGGATCGCGCGGCGGAACAATTCGCGCGATCGAATGCGCGTTACGCGCTCCTGGAGGACGATGGCGACGATGGGGAGGCGCAGGCGACTGCCGCAGCGGCAGCCAAGGAGAGGTCCAGGGGGGGTAAGAAGAATTTGAGGCAGCGCGCGAAGGGAGGGGATTATGAAGACGACGACACAAAGGTGCGGGAGAGAAAGCGGCCACGGAGATCGTGGGAGGAGGAGGAGGAGGAAGGTGGCCAAGAGGAGAAAGCCAGGGAGAAAGACAGGGAAGAGAAGGAGGCTTTCGAAGCCAGGCTGGAGGCCCGGGATAAGGCGCAGACCAGGAATGTGGCTGAGCCCAAGATGAGTAAGGCTGAGAGGAGGGAGGCGGAGATGAGGGAGAGGGCTGACGGGGAGGGGCGGCAGGAGGCGGTGCCCAAGCTGAGGGAGTACTCACGGCAGGCGTACCTGGGCAAGCGGGAGGCGCAGAAGCTGGAGGCGCTGAGGGACGAGATCGAGGACGAGAAGTACATGTTCGAGGGGATGGAGCTGTCCAGGAGGGAAAGGGAGGAGATCAGGAAGAAGGAGGAGCTGCTGAGGATCGCGGAGGAGCACAGGAGGGGGCTGGAGGCGTTGAAGGAGGACGGGTACCGGATGCCGGACGGTTATGATGAGGAGACGGCGCAGGGGAGGGAGAACCGGTTCAAGGCGCTGTATGGGAGGTACCAGGAGGTGCCGGAGGAGGAGGACGAGGCCACACCGTGGAAGGTGCAGGAGCGGTGGGAGGACGCCCAGGCCAGGAAGTCGAGGTTGAAACCCGGGGGAGGGAAGGCGCGGGGGGACGAATATGAGCTGATTACAGAGGACCAGATTGAGTTCATAAAGCATGAGTACCTGACGGGGGAGAGGGATGTGGATGAGGAGTCGGAGGATGAGCGGGAGAGGGAGCAGCGGGAGCGGATGGAACGGGCGAAGACGAAGAAGGAGAAGATAAGGGCCGAGCGAGCTGCCCTGCCAATATATCCCTACAGGGACGAGCTTCTGGATGCCATCGAGAAGCACCAGGTGCTGATCATTGTTGCGGAGACTGGGGCGGGCAAGACCACCCAGATCCCCCAGTACCTGATGGAGGCGGGGTATTCCAACATGGGCAAAATCGGATGCACGCAGCCACGAAGGGTGGCAGCCATGAGTGTGGCAGCACGGGTGGCGCAGGAGATGGATGTCAAGCTGGGGGGAGAGGTGGGGTACTCCATCCGATTTGAGGACTGCACCTCCGACAAGACAGTCATAAAGTACATGACGGACGGCATGTTGCTGCGGGAGTTTCTGGGCGAACCAGACCTTGCCACCTACAGTGTCATGATAATTGATGAAGCGCACGAGCGCACACTCTCAACTGATGTGCTTTTCGGGCTGGTGAAGGACATTACACGATTTAGGGAGGACTTGAAGCTGCTGATTTCCAGTGCAACACTTGACGCAGAAAAGTTCTCCGATTACTTTGACAATGCACCGATCTTCAAGGTGCCTGGGCGACGCTACCCTGTAGACATAATGTACACAAAGGCCCCTGAGGCGGACTACGTGGATGCTGCTGTTGTGACAGTGCTGCAGATCCATGTCACCCAGCCTACTGGAGACATTTTGGTTTTCCTCACGGGCCAAGAGGAGATCGAGAATGCGGAAGAGGCATTGAAGGAGCGCACACGTGGCAAGGGAAGCAAGATTGGCGAGCTGATGGTGTGTCCCATTTACGCCAACCTGCCCACCGACCTGCAGGCGAAGATATTCGAGCCCACACCTGAGGTACGTTTCCTGTCCTGAGTTTGTTGCTTTGGCATGGGCTCCTTTTGACACTTGCACCTTAGATGTGGATGCTGCGTTCTTGTCTGCTTCCGTTTGTGCAACAAGCAAACATCTATTTGTTGCACCATGCACTCGGCGACTGCTGTGCTGTGGACAAGTGTCTAAACAAGTTGTTGTGCATGGAAGATGGCTGCTGCGTTGTCTGCCTTCAAGTCCCATGGGCACCGTCCGACGTAACAGCACCCGGGTTTGTGCACAGCCGCATGTATCGGCCGTCCATTTCCCTGAACTCTCCCCCCTCTGCCACGCAGGGCGCTCGCAAGGTCGTCTTGGCCACCAACATCGCCGAGACGTCCGTCACGATCGACGGCATCCGCTACGTCATCGACACCGGCCTCGTGAAGCAGAACAGCTACAACCCGCGATCGGGCATGGAGCAGCTGCTGGTCACGCCGGTCTCCAAGGCGGCCGCCCAGCAGCGCGCGGGCCGCGCGGGGCGCACCGCCCCCGGCAAGTGCTACCGCCTCTACACCGCATGGTCCTACGAGCACGAGCTGGAGGACAACACCATCCCCGAGATCCAGCGCACCAACCTGGGCAACGTGGTCCTCATGCTCAAGAGCCTGGGCATCAACGACTTGGTCGGATTCGACTTCATGGATCCCCCACCCTCGGAGACGCTGATCCGCGCCCTTGAGCAGCTCTACGCGCTGGGCGCGCTCAACGACCGCGGGGAACTCACTAAGCTTGGCCGGAGGATGGCGGAGCTGCCGCTGGACCCCATGCTGTCCAAGACGCTGATCGCATCGGAGGCCGGCGGCGTGAGCGAGGAGATCGCCACGGTGTGCGCGATGCTGTCCGTGGGCAGCGCCGTGTTCTACCGGCCCAAGGACAAGGCCATCCACGCGGACAGCGCCCACGCGGCCTTCCACCGCGGGGACGTCGGCGACCACGTGGCGCTGATGAACGTGTACAACGCCTGGGCGGAGACCGACTTCTCGCAGCACTTCTGCTACGAGAACTTCGTGCAGGAGAGGGCCATGAAGCGCGCGAGGGACATACGCGACCAGCTGGTGGGCCTTATGGAACGGGTGGAAGTGGAGATGGTGTCGGATGTCGACAACCATGATGCGATCCGCAAGGCGGTTACAGCGGGGTTCTTCTACCACGCGGCCCAGCTGCAGAAGGACGGGTCGTACAAGACGGTGAAGAACCGCCAGACCGTGCACCTGCACCCCAGCTCCGGGCTGAGGGAGGTGCTGCCGCGGTGGGTGGTGTACCACGAGCTGGTGCTGACCAGCAAGGAGTACGTGCGCGGCGTGTCGGAGATCAAGCCCGAGTGGCTGGTGGAGATCGCGCCCCACTACTACGACAAGAAGGACGTGCGGGACGAGGCGGGTAAGAAGATGCCCAAGGGGAAGGGGAGGGCGAGCATGACGGCCTGAGAGGGGGGGGGAGGGTTTTGTGGAGCCGGCTGTTGGCTGGGCTGGGCGCTGCCCAGTGGCGGCCGAGTCAGCCTCTTTTTGTTAATTTTCGCGGACGAATGCAGTCGAAAGGCCTGACAAAACCGTGGTTCCTCGTGCAAGTTGCAACATCATGCCCGGATCATGGGTGAATGGTCCTTAAAAACGAAGCTGTCACAATCAGGCAATTCACACAACAAGACAAAAGGGAAACTATCATGATGGAAGAATATGTGGACTATTTGTCTGGTACAAAACATGCAGCCAGCTGTCCAGCACGCAGTTTTGGCAGCTCGCCTGATCTCAGACGCGCGAAATCCCATTCAGACTTAACCCTGAAACGGCCCGTTCCCAAGTGCATCAATCCAGGATCAAGTTTTGGACGGCGTTCCCGCACCCTGCAGGCCAGGATGACTCTGACGTTCGTTCAAATGCTGGCTGAGAGGTGCATTCACTGCCACATCTGCGTACTGCGCCACTGTGTACCGTATTTCCAGCAAGGAGGCATCTCCATATGAGGCCACCAAGGCATCCTTGAACGCCCGTAAAGCCATCGGTGCCACAACAGACCAACTAACAGAATCATTCTATCCAGGGCATTTAACCAGTTCTGTGCATACATCATTTCCATTGTGACAAAACGAATCCCAAGCTGCTCTCCAAGGCACCGAAGGGCTGGACTGGCCACAGTTACTTAACATGTGAGGTGCACTGCCTAATTCGCGCCCAGGGGTGCGACCGCAAGCACTGACGCATGGCTTTCTATGCACCTTGGAAACACATGTGTAGATGTGGATCTGGATTCTTCTGGAGGCATCATATCAGGAATACCTTCAATCGACTCCCACTTTCGCTCAGCGACCACCAAACATTTAACATGGAAGTGTAGCAGTCGTATCACAAGGAGAGGGCGTCTATTGCAGAAAGTAGTACACAAGTAAGACATCCATTAATTCGCTGACGGACGATCGATGTGCGAATTAACAGATAGATGTCTTATCATCAGTTTGTGTTGGCAAAATAACTAATAGGCCGGGGCCAGGCATGCCTCTGTGCTAATTATTGGACGGACTATTGATCCTCTTATTTCTGTTCAAACACAGAGACCTCAACATTCAAAAAAGCAAAACGTTTGTCCCCCCAATGTTCTTGGGTGTGGGCATTCACAATGGATGCTAAACAGCATTGTGGGCAAGCAAGTGGGACACTGTATTGATGGACAAGGGCGCAACATAGTTAGGTGAACCATTAATGGTGAGGGTCGTTATTGTATAGGTCTGAGGACGTCCCCTGGACGCATCATAATCAGCGTCCTCCATCCAGTCGCTCATTGCGATGTCAATGTCCATCAAGGTGCTTCTTAGGACACACTTCAATACGAACAGTTCTACCAACAAAAATCGATACATCTGTCCTTGCTACCTTTCTTGCACGGATGCTAGTTCATTCTGCTCACAACGCTTGGCATTGTTCTAATTCAGTTTCAAGACAAGGAAAAAGATTGCACATCCAAAGGCTCTCGTGGCCGCTTGCAGTGGCCCGCCGCTATGCAAAGGTAGCTAAACGCGAACTCCAAGTCAGATGTTGATGTCTGCAAGTCGACATAGTTGAACATCAATGAACGCAACTCAGGGTTGCACTTGGAGACTTGGCAACGCTTTGTTTAGGAAACTTTGATGAGCAGAAGCGTTTGGAAATATGCAAAAAAAATATCTGTGAAAGCAACATTGGCTTCTTGAATTGCGACAAACACCACAATTTCAAAAGCTCGCTTCGTATGCGGGGCTTTCGTAATTTTGGTGTCTGAAGAATCCTGAATTGGAAGTTCTCCAATTCAAAAGTCTTATTATATTAGAGCAATATTCTTTGCCAATAGCTCAACAACATCTTATGTGATTTGCTAATACATCGCAGCATTGTGCGGTGGCTAGGAATGCCAATGTGAGTGTGTTTTTGCTTGGCAGCTCACCACCTTCTGACCTCCAATCCTTTTAGCTGATTGCACAAAACTTAATATTAATTCCTGTCAACATACTGCGTGCCAAATCCAAAGGCTGCACTTTGGGTCACTTGTAAAGTGCAAGACTATCGCAACTACAATAGTGGCAGTCTGTGGGGTTTGGATGATCTACAACGGACACGACCAAAAAAGGTAGAAACGATTCCACCCATTTGATGAAAAGATTTGTGGCCCCAGTTGAAGCCCGCAACATGTTTTAACCCGTACCATGGACTTCATATCGAAAAGAGCATGGGATCCGCAAGGGCTAGTTGAGAAATTTTGGGGACATTTCGGTCAACGGAAAACCGATGTTTTATTGGTTCTGCCTAATACTAAGTTTATTTATGGCTTCAACATACCCTCCGCTCTGAAACATGGGAAAAGAAAGAAATTTCATAATGGATCCAAACTGATAGCGACGAAAGATCTGCCATCGCATAAAATTTTCATATACCACTATGTAAGGCAAGGGATTTATTTGTTTGCTACAACAGGGGCAAGTGGGATAGTTCTATTATTGATTGAAATATAACGTGTGTACTATTGATAGCCACTTACAGAGTGAGTAGTTTATCTAACATTCTCTTAAGCATACATTTAATACATTTTTTCCTTATAGAATAAATTCTCCTAGTCACAAATATTTAACAACATGAAAGCAATTCCAAACGTCAAGTATGAAAGCAAAGCCAGATAGGGACATAATATAGAAGAAGCATGCCAACCAAATTCAACATGATCGATAAAGGCACTTCAATTCATACCACAGCTGCCCAAAGTCGATCACTCAATGGCATTGTGACGATAGAAAATTATTGTCCTATTCTCTTTTCGGAGAATATGCAAAAAATATGCATCCTGGTGGATGGCTATTAGGCAAAAAGGACGGCGACAAGCTTGCCACGGTCTTCTTTAAATCATTCCCAGCTTGTTCCCCATGCCTTGAGAGCTTGTTGCACGGACAGATAGTGCGCAAAAGCGCAACGTGGCGGGTAAGATTGGCAAGACCGGAGTTTTTGAATTCCGTTCCTAGATGTTGTGCTCTGAATCATTGTTGAATCTATTGTATTTATTTCCTTTTGTACTTTGGGGGCCATGCCGCATATTTACAACATACACTTTTGTTTCCGCTTCTCAAAGTAGGCAAACATGTGATGCAAATATGACCCCCCAAGAGATCATTTCTTGTCTCATCATTTCTTGTCATTTCTTGCCTTGGGTGCCATTATGGATATCCAATTGTGGAAAGAGGGAGTACCTATGATTGTATTGCAATATGTGTTGGGTTTTCAATGTGCTGATACTCAACAGCAAATGTATATCGTGACAAAATGCCCAAATGCAAAAGCAATCATTGAGAGGCCCACGCCATTGCATGTCCACAACCTTACATATATGCTATGATTTGGATTGATTTGATCCACATTAATGCTGCTTTAATTTTATGCCAATGACATTCTCTTTGTTCAAAATCTAGTACAATGTAGCGAATTGTCAAGCAGTGCTCTTGCGGAAAAAAGTTACATTGCTCAGTAGTTTACAGTAGTTTACTCACTTGTACCGCTTTCCCTCTAAGAGTGTATGTGTGTAGTGTACGCCCACAACATTTGCACCAAAATGTCTTTGAAGCAGTATTTTCATAAGAAAATGTGTGTTTCCCTCGCAAGGTCGACACATCAATTGAGCAGTGACCAATTGGTACAGTTGAGTGCTCATTGAGCACTCAACTACAATGGTTAGCTCACAAATAAGAAAGAACAACCCATCGATGCCCCCCCCCCTACCTCACTTGGCCAGGCACCCCGCCTCCGTGCCTAGCCCCTCCCCCTATTGGGAAGGGCCCGACCCCGCCAAGGTCAGCTAGCCCTTGGCGGCGCCACAGCAATTCGGGGTCCCTATCAGAGCACGTATGCCGCCCTGTCACCCTACACTTCTGCCTATTCATGCCGTAGCGCCCACCTCAGCCAAGACGCCATCTAGTTGGCGTCCTGTGTTTCTTCATTAGCGGGCGCCGATTGTCCACCTCCCATGTCGCTGCCTTGCACCCCCACTGGGCCCTTCCTCTTTGTTGTGAGGAACGCAACATATTGTGCATTGTTTTTTAGCAGTGGATCAAGGAAATGATAATTATATACTATAGAATATAGGTATGCAAAGTTAAACTTATGCCTGGAGACACAATATCCAATGGCTCCAGCATTGGCCACACTTCCACTGGATCAATTACCACCATCTGACTCTCCTGAGTTTTCTCTAAAAGACAAAAATTTACTGCATTTCATTACAGCTTCAAATGCACAAGCATGATCAGACAACATCTGTGAATAAAAATGTTGATCGCAACAGACTGGAGCCATTGATTACAAATTTGTGCGCATCTCGCATTGAACACATCTTTTCAAGTGGCCACGCAAAAAATACACTTGCAAACTTCACTACCATCACCAACCTGCAATTGACCATTAAATTTTGCTACACATATACAAGGGATGGGTCAGGGTGTACATGAAATGCCATGTCTTTGCATTGGTTGTTGCTCGTTGGAGTGTGCAGTTCAACCATCATTGATGCAAGCACTTTTTGCTTGTACCAATTCTCCCCACATGAAAGATCTTGTCAAGCGTACAGAACCTGTACTACAGATCGATCAACATTTCCATACCAGTGACAAATACAAAAAGAATGTGCTACTCTATCTATTGACGGAAGGAGATCTGGAGGGACAACGCGCTTCACTGTAGACAAAGTTTAATTGCCTTTTATGATTCAATCTCTTGGCTGTTTATCCTTGCAAAAATCCATACCTTCTGCAAATAATCCAATTCGTTTCGGCAATGATGAGACGCTATAATGGTATTGTGTTACCATTGGTTAGGGTTTCTCAACTTCATACTTCCAATTTTGCAACATACAGTAGGACATGTACAATGCGAACTAGGTACATGTCGCAAGATAGAAACTGATATCGTTTTCCGAGTGTTGGATTATTACCATATTGGAATAAGTGACAGTAACATGACAAAACACCCAAAGGTACTAAAACATGGATTTCCATTGGTTTCTAAACTTGAAAATGCAGAGGTTCCTAAAGACACTAACGTGTTTGATTTGCGGCATCGCTAGACCAAGCGCAAGACACCCCTCTTCTAGGCAATGGCGGCAAAGGCTTCGTTTGCAACTCACAGGCACGGGAGCAGCCCCAGACCTTCGGGGTCTCCAGGGAACGCGGAATCTGAATGCAAATTGTTTTGGAACCAATCCATGGCAATTTCGGGGGGCCGCGCATGGAGGCTGGGACTGGCTATGTACTTGAAAATTGACATTGCCTGATTGGATTTTGGAGCCCAATGCCTCCGATTCTGCCATCGCTACTCCAGTTGCTGTTTTTGCAACAACATTTCCCTTTCAAATACGGCAATCAACACAGGACGGATGAAGTACAAAGAAAGCACTGCAAAACATGTGGGAGACTGCAATTGATATATGTGAAATACAGGAGGTATAGGAGGTTCTATAAACTCTATTGGAGAATCAATCTGAGACTGCAATTAGTATAACACTGGATTGTGTGGGAACAAACGAAACGAAGGAATACATCTGGAACCTCGACAGGAGTTGGTCATCAGATTTGAGGGACTCATCACGATAGGTTTTGGCCATGTCAACATTTCATTCGAATAGAAATCTAAGAGGAGAAGGGAACTCCCGTTGTGTTTCAGAGGCTAGAGTCAGGCCAAAGCCGTTTTTCAGAACATATTAATCAATGGGATACGAAGCTAGGGTTCTTGCGAACACGTTCAGTGGTGCTGGGCGATTTCATCTTGCATTAATCAGTTTCCTTGGGCCATTGAGTGTGACGGACGCTATGTTGAGTCCAGGGGGTTTTGATTATTTGATCCTTTGGAGGACCTCTTGGCAATGTTCGAGCAACAAATTTGTGCATGTTTCTGGGCGAACTATATGTCTGAAGTTATCGTTTGCCATCTGAACCGCCTTAAAAGCACACAGAAGTTATAGCTTTGCACACAGAAGAAGGAGAAATATGTTGAGGGGCTGTATTGAGACATTGCACTGTGAAATGGCTCGCTGGAGACACTAAGTTTAGGTGCATGCCATCGTGTCGGCAACGCATCGCTTAGTTTCCTGTCGCCCTTGTCTGACACCTCTGCGCCACTGGGTTGCGAGGGTTTCATCCCGTGAACGGGATCCTGGTGAACTTTAACATAAGTACCCATAAAAATGAGCCGCTGATGTTTGGCGTACCTGTCCGTGGGTTGCATGATTTCATTTTCATTGACTGGCCTCAATGGATGGACCATTTTAACATGTGGCCTTATCTGATCATGCAGCGCCCTTTCGAAAAGGTTGTGGCGCACCGCGAGGCAAAATATCCAATATGCATAGCACAGGATGGGATGTTTAAGCATCAAATTTGATAGAGAAATAATTCTGCCATCATTTTATTGCCCAGCTGCTGCTAACGCATCCACCAATTGAAATAATGGGCATTAGTTGCTGATAGGCTTCGCCATATGGTTGGGCAGGTCGGTGCATTAAGGGCTTCAATTCCCTCAACGATGTTTGTGGAAATAACCAAGAGCCACGTTTGTGCTTCGCACCAAGATCCGCGTGTGCGATACATCTGTTGCACATCGTGAAACATTTTATGTGCGACACAATGGAGCGGTTTTGTTATTGTTGAGGGCGAGGTGCGTGATGCTGAATGGTTACCCTATGCAAATGTTCCCCTAATGCCACAATCCCAAGATATAGCCCAAACACCCCTGATTTGACCAACCTTTCCCTTCATTGTTCAACATGGAGCTGCTTCGGCACCTGAAAAGGACAAATGCATATCGTGGGATATGTTGGCGGCCAACACAGTATGCAAACAAGCTCCAGTCTACTGGACAGCGTCCAGCCATTTGCTGGCGCATACACTGAATCTGGTTGCCACCACAGAATCTCTGGGAACCCATCAGCGATGGGTCACAATATGGAGGTTCCGAGATATGCCCATCCAAACAAAAGTTGCTGTTGTGGGAAGGGCATCGACTTTTACCCTATCAAAGGAGTTGCTGTTGTGGGAAGGGCATCGACTTTTACCCTATCAAGGATGGCGGAGGGGGCTGTGGGGGTGGGTCCCCGGAGCACAGCGTACATTACTTAATTGACTCCTGCACACTATGATTGATTGAGCTTTTGCCGTATTCCTTCATTAAATTCCAACCACATGTGACTTGTACTCCTTCGAAATATTGCAATCTGTCCAACTGATATCGAGCAGTATCGCGCCCACTTCGCTCTTTGATATACGGTGCAGCACGGAAGCCAGGGATCGGCAACCAGACCCCTCCCGACCCTTTCGCCGCCACGCGACTGCAGCGGAACATGCGAAACGACTGGATGCGTTTACAGTGTCACGGAAGAGCTGAATGGAGGGGCGCAAACGAGCAGCGCTTGGAAACGCGACGTTCCAACAATGAACGCACCTTGACCGTCAGTGCGCTGCCTGCTGGTCTTCCGCCGCCGCTTGGCCTCTCTTTAGTTCCCTGCAAAGACATGCAAATTCGATCCAGTGCAAAATCGTTCAAACGCCGTCCGCGACCAGGCGACTGTCAGCAACAAGGACCTCTTACTGCAGCTCGGCGAGCCGCCTCTGACCTTCGGCGGCACCTGGCCGCAGTGCGCCGCGGAACTTGGACTCCAAAACTTTGACATCTGAACTGCGCAAACACAGAAGTGCTGAGCGATTGAAGAGGAAGAGAGTGGGCGGCACACACGGGCGGCTGGCGCGGCATGTCAGAATTTATGGGGTACTGGCGCGACGACCATGTTTTTTCTAACGTCCGGATTTAAAAAGCGACTGGAACGTCGACCATGGAATATTGCGTATCAAGGTGAATTGCACCTCAATGTAAAGTAAGTTCATTGATCCTATTGTCATTGGGTTTGAGACACGGCGCTGGTAATTGCCCATTAGCAGCCAGGGCGGAGGGAACGGGCTACGCTTCCTGAGTGGCGATATCCTAGCATAGTTTGACTGATGGACTGGACTGATGATTATAAGTGTATAGTGGTGTAGCAAGTGATGAAGTAACTACTCTTTTTGCCATTTTTGATTCAACTGCGAAGTCCAGTTGTCTAATCCATTCGTTGCATGCGCCACCCCGATAAAGCCCGCAGCCTGAATTGGCCAGCTCGGCAGTACAACGATGGCTCCCAGCATCCGCGTTCGTCGTATGGCAGATCTTGGCAACGGCACGCCACATTGTAGCCACCACACGATGGCCACAAGCAAGCCACCCGTGCCTTTCATCCCTCGGATAGCCTGAAGCGCATTCATGAGCCGCTTTCATTGAAGACCGGGGGACGTATGGCATGCATTTCAACGGCAGGGAATTGGCGGACAAATGCAAATTCGTGCGCGTCCCCCCCTAGAACGTGAGAAAGCATAACGGCAACCTATTATGTTCAACGAGAAACCGACATTCGCGCGCCGACGAGCCAGGGTAAGGAAGAACGAAGAAGGCGGGGTGGAGTCCTAGTTTGGACGGCCAATGCACCTTCGTCCAAGACCCCAAGCATGGAACAAGATAGAGAAGCCTAGCAGTCAGTTTGCCACTTCCCTATTCTCTATCAACAACCTTCTTTTACAGCACCCGCCAAGGCAAACACGCTAACACTTCACCAATACAAACAGTAGCAACAAGCTCAATCATTCTGTGTCAATGGTCACGAGGCCCCTTCCATTTCCAATGTGTCAGTCCGGTGTACCTATCCTGACATCTTGGGCAGCTACCCTACCCCAAACCCACCCCCACCCAGTCACCCGCCCGCCCCGATCAAAACTGCGACACGGCAATGGGCTGCTGCCAGCCGACTGCATGCTCCCTGCCAACCCGCTCACAAGCAAATCGCGAGTTGCCACGCATCCCGTGCGCCGCTATCCGTCACTGCCCCCTCTCAGCCAGTGCACTCGCAATAAATAGCCCTCAATGATGATTCCAATGTTGTCCGATCTGTTGCTCATTTAGGTTCAGTCGCTGGACACCGGCCACACCCTGCAGGGCAATGGCTAGTCGGAAACAGCTCGTTTGTGATGGGCGCCGCGACTCTGGATTTGGTATGGCGCCCCACCGCACCCCCAGTCAAGGCGCTCCCTTGTACTTGCATTTCTTTTGCTTGACTTTCCTCAGCACTGATGTGTCGAAGCCCAGAGCTGCACAAGAGCACACAAACACGCACGTCATACATGGCGCTGTCTCTGTCGTGGAGTTACGAACCTTTGCGGATGGCAATGAGTGGCGTGCGTATAACATGCGCCTGGATGGGAACACCCGGCACCCCAACAATGTCGGCACTTGCATGTGCAGCTGGGGATACCTTCATCGGCCTCACAATGGGATTTCCGTCCCATTTCTGCCCACATGAATTAAGCTGGAACCTTCGACAAGCAATGCTGGTATTGTTAATAGTCTGCCGCATTACCCAAACAGTCTTACTGTTCCAACCGGATGCGTTGACATGCATGGCTTGCAGGAACTCGGCACACACATGGAAACACACTTCTATGCCTGTCCTTCTGTCGAGCTAAACACTGTCCACTCTTGCATGCTTGTTGCCCTGCGTTTTCAGGCCTCTGCGTGGCTTTTAACAGGTACGCACCCCATACAGCGTTTGCTCAGGAGGGGGTGCCCATTGCGTGACCAGTTGCCTTCCTTGTTTGAGAGAGTTCATGCCAAACTTCAAAACAAAACCAGAAAAGGAAGCAAATACCATAGAAAAGGGTCATATGCATGCGCAATGCCATGGTGGTTGCGCAAATTCACGTCATCTGCGTTGATGGAGCACTGCACTGGGTGAGAACTGCCTGAATGGATGCTGAGGGACAATGTCTCGGAAGCTTCAAGCCAGCAAGCAAATGTCGTGTAGCTATGGATGCTGCAGGGTGGTAGTCAAGTGACAATAATGGTATCCCAGCATGCATCTTGGCCAGCACCCCCTCCCACTTTCTGCTTGCTCGCAGGTACAAACTGACAAGTGTACAAATTCTACGCAAACTCGTGCATGTGTTCAACAGATACCCAGAAGGATTGTTTTACCACCCAGGATTTCTGCTTTGCCCTTAAAGCATGGCCAGGAGTCTCACAAAAGTCTTGCTCGCAGGGGGATCATGGGATGACAGTACTATAATCTCGAACCAGCTTCTTTCTGGATACACGGATGAAATAACGGAACCAAACACCAAAACAATGGGCCATTATCTGACAGGATTGATGAAAGACAGAAGTTCGAATGTCTTCAACCTCAATAAATGAGTCCATGTCCCTGCGAAGAAAATTATGGCCAACAATATGGGCATTCAGGACACGGGATATTTTTCCAACGCGCACAGGCCCAAATGGCGATGATCAGGATCCACCTTTAGGGACACAGTCACATGATCGAATACGGAAGGGACAGGGGGACACGACACACTCCTTATAGCTCACAGAGTCACGATGCAGCACTGGCAGGCCGTCATTTCTTGGCCAGGTCGTAATCCAACAACTAGGGGGGCTGCTAGAGAGAACGAAAATGCCGCTCGCGGCGCGTGCCACTTGGATTTTTTCGCCAGTTTAGTTTCGATCCCATTGGGGCCTGCTAGCTGTGCCTCCCTCACATTCGGCCACGTTCTGCATGATGCTGGTGGAGGTTGGATCCACTGGCTTTCGTGTTAGAAGCCACAGCCCTGTCAGCCCAGAGGGACACAAAAATGTCAATTATTTCTAATCGAGGATATTGATGCATCAAACAGGTCACCAACTCGGAACACAAGAGATCCAGCTCCAGATCAATCTCCCCTTACGGACAGGTGCATGGGCCTCAGGTCGTGATATGCATCCGCTGGAGAAAGGCATTTATTGCGCTGCAGCAGATTTGGACAGTTTAATGTTCAGCGTGATTGAGGAATGTTACCCTGGGATTTAGCGGGTTCCTTGAATTGATCTGCCCAAGCAAGGCTCCTGTTGCTGAAGTCCACATCGCCCTCAGCAGTTCACTGGGTTTTCTTACATGGCCTTTGTTCGTCGTCACTTTGATGGCACACCCACAGTATGCTGCCGCCAATCGACAAATGCAATCGAAGGCACAAATATATGTGAGTATTGCGCTGTCAGTAGGACAATCGCACTGTCATGTGGCTTGGGCCTTGGTGCCATACTGACCAAATGTTACATAGCAGACTCTTTGCCAACAGCTGAAGCCCAAGCAGGTAATGTAGCAGTTTCTGGCGTTGGTTTGGGGTGTAAACACTATTGGATCATCTCCATCACTTGCTGTTGTTGATACAGGGTATCCTCAAAGCGCAAACTGATTGCTGCCATACAATGGCATTCCAGCCCTGCACAACTTACTCGCAGCCATTTCCATGATGTTCTGCCAAGCTGAATTCATCCTAAGTGATCACATACATCCCTTGCATAATAAAGCGACAGCGTCCATGCAACATCCCGTGTTTCGATGTAACAAAGTGCTGATTGCAAGTAAACCCTCTGCCGTTCTGTGACAGGCCGCATACAAATATCCGAAAACAAGCAGCATGGTTTGCAGCTGAAAGGGATTTGAACTGATGCCCCGGGGATTGTGCACACTGCAGGCCACAGTCCAAACCGCACATTGCAATTTTGAACATTCAGTGTACAAAATCACTGCCTCAGTATGTTTGGCTCATTGATATGCATCAGCTGAGGTCCCCTTCCCAAATGCACATGTTCACTGGCTGCCCTTGTTAGGGCCAGTAACTGTTCGATCTGCTTGGGATGATGTGTTGCCTCATGTACCCATTGCCCTTCCTTGATTCACTGGTGGCTGTTTGTCTTTGGTGACAACAAGTAAATCCAATGAATTATACTCACCACCCTCGTGCACATTAAAAAGCCCCAGAAAAGAGATCTCTGTGCGGCAGCCATCGATCCCAGGTGTCTTTGGAGGCCCGGCACTGACGATCGCCCACTCGTATGCCAATGTCTTATTCCTTGATGGACCTGGGCCAAGGACACACAGACACAACAGGCCGAAAACTGACTACAGGTGGAGGCATAGATAACTTGACGCTCATTCTACTCTGTGTTGGGTGTTGTTCTTGTTGCACTATGAGGGCTTCTGCATCTCATTCGTTGTGTACAATACACATTCTCAGAAGTTTATGACTGAGAAGCAGGCTGCCAATGGTGGAAAATACTCTGTCCTGTCTATTGCTAAAAGAGCCACTCTTGGGTATCTGGATTGCAGGAGTATCTCCCTTTTGCACAGCCATGCTGGTGCACTGCCATTGCACTGTTGCCACCATAAGGGGCCGCCCGCTGGTGAGTGTGCAGTTTACATGCGTGAACTTCTGAGAGTCTCTGAAAATCTTCCCACACCATGCAATGCACTACCGTACTTTGCGTGCAGGACAGCACACTCACCAACAGCCACAACCCAGTGATCTGTGAAGAAGAACCGAAGCAGCGATAGCTGCAGGACGTTTCTAAGGAAGGTAGGCATCACTGCGAACTTGCCGGGCTCCTCAAGGTCAGGGACCATCCCGCTCAATTCAATATCGGTCGACCTGGCAGCACCACAACCGCAGGATCTTGAAATTTGGGTACCACATACATTGCACAAGACAATGCAATTGTATTACACCCACTGCCAGCACATACTACAACATCTGTAAAGGAACGCTGATCACAACCACAGGGGGCAGTGTCGATTCAAGTGCGTGCTGTGATTTGGTGTGGTTGACAATACCTGCACACTATGAGCAAGGGGACTATGGCATGGACTATCACAGCGGTAGCTAGAAACAACATAGGGGCGCGCCCTTTGGATGTGAACAAAACTCCAAGGCACAACTGCAGTACCCTGCCATATCCCAGCATGTGCAATCACTGTGGGCTTCAGGGACACTAGCAAGGCAACACATTGCTTGCAAAGCAGGCACAGGAGCCCCTAGACCTTAGAATCTGGTAACAAAAGTGCTGCATGGCTGCGCTTGTCACCACGAACAACATACTGCCCTAAGAATAGGGCATTGGTGGTGATGACAGGCAATTTAGCAGCCTCAGAATAGCGCCCGAAGACCAAGTCGAAACAAACACCCAAGGTGAGTATCTGCCAGCTCTTCAGGGTGGATTGGGAATAGGTACTTGAATCGGGCAGGGAGAGTAAACTCCTGAACACACACACAATTGTCTGCACACTTTTGCAACCATAAGTGCAAGGACAAGTCACCAATTGACCATGGTTTCAACAACTGCTCTGGACCATCTGGATGAGGCAAACACGCTGGCAAGTGTGCACTCACTCATCACCAGCATTGCTGACTGCAGGCCCATTGACCCTCCCTTCATTGGCATAGAAGAGCACCTTGATTCCAGACTGCGCAAGTAACAGAAAGCCGAACGGGTCATGCTAGGGCCCAATTTGTTGTGTCACTTCCAAATGGACCAACAAAACAGACTACCACAAAGGCGACCACACTGGTCCTAAGGCTGGTAGTACGGTGGAAACACAGAAATCGTTTAGCAATGCAAAACGAGTCCTCGTCCTTACCCCTCCCTCAAGTCACAATCAATTTGCGATTCAATTAGTGCTTCCGCTATGTGGTTCAGGAGAGTGTGGGCTGAGCAGATCACCAGAAATGTAGTTCACGGGGATTGTAGATTAACTGTTTTGAGCAGCCCCAGGATGCCAAACTGGACGAGCCCCGATTTTGTTGCGTGCAGCTCATTTCTGTTGTCTGTGATGACAGTGCCACAGCCAACAATGGAGAGCCAAGAATCAAGAAACAGGATGTGTGCCATTTGAAATCAAAGACAACTACATCTGTCCTAAAACTATCACAAACAACTGACCACTATCACAAACCTCTGAGTGCATGCCAATCTCTGTGCAAGCCAATACACAATTGTGTCTGTGCACTTCACAGTATCCCTTCATCGTTCAGCAGCTCTGAGCATTGCCATTAAGCAAAACAGGGAAAGCAATGAAACGAGCATTCTGTGAATGTTCGTCGATTGCAAGGTACTTGAGCCAGAAGGGTAGCGATGGATGCACTGGCTACCATAAGCCCATCATTTTCTGTAGCAGGGGTGGGGGAGTATTTGGTTGATGCCCACCTGGACTCTGTCAATAGAAACAATTAAACAATCTGCAAGAGAACGAGATGAGGAGAGGAAAAGTACAAATGTGCTGGAGCAGTTGCTGTGGGACACTGTCAGTCATCGCCCTGATGTTGCAAAGCCACGCTTTGTCACTTATTGACATTGAACAGTGACACTTTGGGAAGGAGTTGGACCGATGGGCCACAACATGACATTGCAACTCGTTGAAACTCACCGAAATGTTTTCTGGGTTCTCAAGTTCATAGCGTGCACGAACACAGAACAGCTGGTCGACAGGCTGGTAGCTCAGGGGAACCTGTGCCGCAAAAGCAGGAACAGTTGGAGCAACAGGCACACACACAAATGGCACAAACACATAATACATACCCTCCAATGACAGCGATATAGCACACCGCATACAATGCTTCTTGAGAGAGGACCAGAGGAATGCTGAACAACGGGCAAGCCCCTCCTCAGCAAATTTCTTGGAAAGTTTTCTTGCAGTGGAGTTACGGTGCAGAAATCACCAAGTGAAGGGGGAATCACGAAGCAATGACAGCCTAAGGAATTGAGGACAGCAGTGGCACAGGAATAAGACCATGACGGCACCACTGACAGGCAGACAAAGCACCATACCAGCATCAATTCTGAATATTTGTAACGGACAACTGGCAAATTTATCTATCTAACAAAACAAGAGCTGGATGATAGCGATAAACCTGGATCAGTAAGATGCTGTCAATTAAGAGTGCCACAGATTGAATTCTGTGTCAACGTCTAGTCCATGCGGATGAGAAAACCGCTCAACCATTGTCAGCCCTGTCCCAGGCGACGTTGCAATATGCGCCAGACAACTTGCTGCTTACAGGCGCAGTGCCATTGAAACACTTGGACTTGCTCAGCGCTTTGTGTGTCCTGTACCCATTCTTTGCCAATTCACAAGCTCATCGCTGGGATTGGCCCCCCGATCCCAACAGGGGCCATTTACTTTATTGTTTGCTAGTATCCTCGCTTGCTTTCCCGGCCACAACCGTATTGACAAAGAGACTCCAGACGAATGAAGAAGAACACCTGACGAGGCGCCTGTTCTTACGTCATCAACCGCAGAGCTTCAAGACTCTGACTCCCCTTCACTCAACGGTTCCAGGGTGCGCCGCCCCTCCTGAAAACCTCGTATTCCGAATTGAAAGTCCCACGACATCGCCATGATGGCAACCGGCGGTCCGCGCAGACAAGGCCCACCAGAAACCGACCGACACTAAAGCACAAAGTACGAGGCGCTGATACGACAGTGACTGGTCCATGATGGACGGATGGTTGTTTGACAACAAAGGGACATGCCTGTGGGTGATCCCTGTGTTCCTCGGCTGTGTCTCCGAGCCCGGGCTCATTTCCCCGTCTCCAGCAATTAACGAGACCAATCCAATCTTCAAAATGATTACATTATCAGCGCGTGTGTGGGTGCCGCTATTGTCGTATCTGCTTACCAGCGCGCCCAGGCCCCCGGCTTCCGAGCCTCCGCCGGTCGACGGGATCGCGCAACCCCCCCGCACAAACTCCGCACTGCACCCCTCCCGCCCTCCCTTGCCTCCCACTGGCCCCCACCTCAACTCCAGCGCCTCCCCGGCCTCACCCCAAAGCCCGTGAGCTCGTACAGAATCTCCAATCCTCGACTTCCCTTGCCCCCTCTCCCGCCCCCGCGTTCCCCAAACGCCAAACAACTGCCCGGCCCGGCCCTTGCTCGCCCCTTGACGGGGTCGGTGTGGCCTGGCGCGGGCATCGCGCCATGGCCGTCCGGCTCACCTGCAGCTGCGCGTACCACGGCGCGATGGCGAACCGCCTCACGTCCAGCCGGTTGTTCGCCGTGAAACCCTCGGGGGGGCAGATGACGTCCTGGGCGGCGACAGCCAGCGCCGACGCCGCAACAGCGAGCAGCGCCCCGACGAAGAACCTGGGCATTAGATGGCGAGGGGAGATGGGCGCAGCCGGTCGGTCCCTTGGGCGAACTCAAAGGATGGCTGGATCGATGCCAACGGCCGTGGCTGGAGGGAACCTGGTCCTTCCGCAGCGCGTGTCAGGGCGGGTCGTGGGGCGGGGAGGCGCCGGGCGACGCAGGGCGCGGGTGAAGGAGTCCGGGCTGCGGGGGGTGTGACAATTTGAGCCACGAGGGATGGCTGGCAGAGACACCAGCCCGGAAGTACATGCTGACTGGTGACGGGGAGCCGTCAGATCCCGCCGTGCGAGCCACTGTTGGGGACCCAGGTCCACGGCACGGGAGGCAAACCCCTGCTGTGCTGGGCACAAATTCTGTCACGAAAATGTTGGAGCCCATCTTCTGCCCCCCGGTTTGCGATGCTATGCGTGGACAGCGCGAACCTTGAGTCGTTTGGCCCGTCTTTCAAAGGGTGACCACATGCATGTGGGTGTCGAGCTTCACGTCAGAAAGTATGCTGGCTCCCCCACGTTCCCTCCCCTGGCGTCAATCCTTACCCTCATTTTGACAATACGCAGCAGAACTTCCTAATATCGATTTCATTAGGTTAGCCACTGCAATAATAGGATGCATGATATTCATTATTGCCATTCTGCACCCACCGTCACTAGGGCAATAATGTGGTGCAAAGGCCGTGACAGAAGTTAATCACCTGTCATGCCCTGAACACAGTGCACACAGGACAGGGGTGCAGTCTGTGCTGTCCAGTGGAGGCGCACGAGGTGAAGTTGCATGGTGAGGATCCTGACACACCGAGTGTGGTTGGTTGGCTTTGGTCCTAAGCAAGCGCCACATGAGAGCGAAGTGTGGCATCCGCGATATTTTTGCAGGTGCCACGTTTTGATCCCATGTAGCCACTCTACCACAATGCAATTTGAGAGCCGCAGTGCCCATGGGTGGCTTGAATTTCGAGGTGAGGAGTTGCAATGTGGACAATGAGTGGTGCGTAGAGACCCCCATAACGTTTTGGGGCTGAATAAGCCTTGAAGAAAGCAAATAGTCCACTGCAATGAATATGCAGGGCTGAAGGCTTGCGCCAATCAGGGGTGTTTGAGCTCTCTATCTGGCTTATCTCAATTTTGTTCCGATCCTATTCAATGCTGGGTAATTTCTCTGCATCATGGATATGCGCGGCCCTGCCGCAGAGAATGCTCTTGATAGACAGGTGAAATTGGAGTCCAGGTTTCGAAATTAACAAACTGCCTCACTGCTCTCAAAGAGAGACGAACATGATAAACTTCTGCGGCCTCACAGCACACATTGGCTGCAGGCGCCTCTCGAACTGGCTCCCCCTCCTGAGGGTACTTCACCCACAGCGGTGTTCACAATCATCACACAGTCCCAACACAAAACTCCGCCCCTCCGTCTCAACCCTACCTTGCTCTACCAGCGCCCTCAACGAGTGCCCTGTCGATTTCGATCGAACACCATCAACCCTAAACCTTCAATGGCAGTAGGAGCGCTCCAAGCAGCGCTCTTGGTCACCGACCCATGCAGACTGGAACTGTGCGCTCACGGGCATAATGCGCTCGACGCTGTTCTTCTGTGTTGGACTCCACCAGCCAATGTCTGTGCATTGCATCACACGTCCACAACTTCCTCTCCTTTCATTTTAAAGAATCCCCAAATGTGTCTCCCCCACCCCAACGACCCCGTCCGCCACGCCCCAGGCACCCTGAGCCCCTCCTAGTCAACTCACCTCTTTCAGTTTGCTACAAAATTAAATGCTGTCGAGGCATCAAGGCGCTCCTTTGTACTTGCATTTCGCTTGCTTGACGTCAACCAAGACTGATAAATCAAAGCCCAGGGCTGCAGAGACACAAGAGGTGCTGTCAGCTGACCTGACAACTTCAAGCTGACAATTTCAATCTGAGGTATTGTTCTTGCTGCCCGACACTGGGGAAGTACTTGAGCTGACTCTGTTCAACCACTTCCCCTACGTTAGGGAGCAAGCACAATACCTCAGACTGCTTAATGCGTCAGAAATCCGATTTGGGCTGACGTGTGCCCCGGCAGGCATGCCCATTTTGTATTGCACAGCGCAACGCTGCAATGTTGGTGGCAGCCCCTGTGGGCTCAGTGGTGGTACATACCCGCAAAAGAGCACACTTCATTTCCACTTCACCGAGACACGTGCACATGGACTCCCTGAGCACGATGGCCACAGTGCTGACCGTACCTTCTGCAACATTCCTCATTATATCATCGCTGGTCTTGTCGACTGGTTCCCGTGTCAATAGCCAAAGACCTGCAGGGCGCCAACGCAAGCACCATGTGTCACTCCAACTTTGGCCAACCCAACGCTGCCCAGAGCCGATTCAATGCGGCAACAACCTTGAGGCGGCGGCACGGGCCAACTCAAGGATTGCCGCCGCTGTGCAAAGAACCATTAGGTTCCGTGGACTGCACTATTTGCTGGCAGGCAAGGACATTGGCCAACAGACCAAAAGCCGCCAATTCTTGTTTAAACAGTGTCGTCAAGTTGCTGGAAACTGTGCACCGACAGTACGAAAGTGGATAAGTGGAGCAAGAAAATTGCGCAATCTCAGCCATGCTGTTGGTGCTAGTTTTCGGCAGTGGGAAGGGAAGGGCAAAACCACCGACAACACAAACTTGGACAATGGGCCACTACAGTGTTTTAATGATGCAAATTGCAGAGTCTCTCTCTGGTACACCTGTCAATTCATTTGAATTCCGGCCGCCTCTCGAAGATTTGGCCTCCAATGCCCTTCAAGCTACACAGGCAATGCAAGTCTGGTTCGCACAATAACAGGTATTTCGTTGGAACGGGTGCAGAGCAAACCGCCCCTACCATGGTCGTCAGATTTGGGACCGCCCTATTTTCTGACAAGTCTTGACCCAGGTTTCCACAGCAAGAAAAAAACAAAAGCGCAATAGTTCTCCATAAGCAACTACACAACGCAGGCCCAAAAGTTCCTACGCATTTGAAACATTATGAACATCACGGTTGGAAGCACTTTTCGTCCTCATCTGACTCCTCTTGCACTTGTATGTACCTTCAAACGAAGCACTGTCCACCAAATATGCTGAATGGGCATAACTATAGCAAGGCAGGGCAACGACCGTGAACTAACACAACGAGGAGCCAGCGGCACGCCATGCCTGACAGCTTTCGCTGCCACGGACAATTGCAATGCAAACCAGAGCGCAGTAAGGTGGATGCGCAATTGCATCATCAAGTATTTCTCCAAGGCAAGACGAAAACCAAATTGCATGTGCCCCAAAACACATTCTCCATTGCTGGGAAGCCTCTCCGCCCTGCAAGGACACTTGCGTTGGACAAAATTGTTCATAGTATCTTTGGCTATGACCTATTTTCTGTTTTCAAGCTGAGCAAGCTTCAGAAGATATCTGCGGAGCAGCCAACACATGACAAGCCGTTTTGCTATTCGCTGAGCACCTGGCAGCACAGGTCTGCAGAGGCGGCTGTTCCAACAGGCCAGGTGCAAGTGCAGAGCTCCGTCACATTCCGCACAATATGATGAAAAACGCACCACGCGGCAGCTCTCTGCTCCTTGGCCTTATGTCACATGCACTGATTCCCAGCACGAAGAGTTGACAGAGCTCACAACGACCCGTCCAGACATCGACTTACACATCGTCAATCAGAAGCAACAGGGAGCACGAGCCCATTCGTACCGCCTTGATGCACTTCGAACAGCCCAAGAAATGCTACATCAGTGCGGCAGCCTTTAATCCCAGGTGTCCTAGGAGGTCCAGCACTGACGATCGCCCAGTCATAGGCTAATGTTGCGTTCCTAGAAGGCCCTGGTGCACACAAATAACAACGACACACGTCAATTTAGACATAACAAGGAGCTCCAGTTTTGCGCTTGCTTTCAGCTTTCACGCATCCTTGCATGTAGCTACAAAGGTGAACATCTTCACTTGAGGTTATTCAATCAGTGCAGGTGAATGCTGAGACACTTATGGCTCGTGGAGCTATCTATGGACTCCTTGCCATTGTTCAAAGTTCGAGAACTTCTGCCTGAGCATGCACAAACAGATGGGTGGCAACACTTGCACAGTCACAGATGGGTCACCAAGCTGGGCAGTGCCCATGCCTCAACCATGGTGCAGTAAGAAGTTTCGCATCTGCGCAGGCGGCTTCTGCACAAGGGTTTCAAGTGCAACACTAGCATGGATGCCAGTCATTCTGCCAACATGCACATCACATAGCAGAGTGTGGCGAGATATTGCACTGCTCCTGCTCAGAAGGGGCCCCAAAAGCATAGTCCAACATGCTTTTGTCTATCAACTTGTCTGGGCTGCAGGCGCTCCATTTTGAATAGCGCAATTAGGGATAAGAGCAGGCCACCTTTTCTAAGACTGTGGGCAACTGACGGAAGGATGTACTCACCGACAGCAACGACCCAATGGTCAGGGAAGAAAAAGCGAAGGTTGGTCCTACTTAAAACATTCTGGAGGATGGCTGGCAGGACTGCAAATTTGCTAGGTTCCTCCAGATCCGTGATGTTTCCGATCAGCTCAACGTCTGTGGAGCTGAGCATGGAAAAAACGCAATCAGATGGCGTGCCATGGTCGACATCAGTGACTGTCCCAATGCAAGATGCTTTGAACGTCACCAAAGCCAAGCGGAACAACTTGCAACAGTGAGTCATGCTAGGAGTATGGGGCATTCACTCAAATAGCTCCGATGATGATGAACAGAGTCTGGATTGTCTACAATGACAACCGCAATGCCAGACAGCACATCTGTGTTCCAGTAGAACAGACACAGGCGCCCAACAGAGGAAACCAGTGCCATTAAGGATGTGAGGTCGACCCTATGCCTGAACCGTGTTCCCACAGCCCTCAAAAACCCCACAACCCAAGAGGAACAGGTCCAAAACCACAGGCCCCAGTCCAGGTTCAGCGAATCTGGGTCCACACTTGGGCAAAGTACACATACACAATACTTTGACAATACAGCAAGAAACCTAAACACAATACTTGTGCAATACAATGTGCCCACGCACAGCATTTTGCAATGGTTGGCTGGTGCAACGGGTATTTCCCGTGAAAATGTGAGCTCACTTTGGGCCTGTGCTCACAGCTGGGCCATTCACTCTTCCCTTGTTCGCGTAAAAGAAGACCTTCAGTCCAGCCTGCACAAAAGGAGCATCACATAAAATGAATTCGACTGTCCTAGCAATAAGGACGACAGCCACCCAGTTGGCGTGTGGGATTGCTGTTTCGGACAAAATTGTAGCAGACCACACATCGCTAGCGAATCTGCAAGGCTTATCGTAGGCTCCTACAGCTCACAAGTGGCTCCATGTTCTGGTTGCCAACCCTTCACTGATCCACCAACTGTGGACAGTGCTGTCAAGCGCCCCTGGAAATGGTTTACTGTCCATTCAACAGCAATCCAAAATCATGCATGGCCCCACCTCATCCAAGTCTGTTTGTTGCATCTTTGGCACATCAATGTGCTGTATGATATATGCGTTCATTTCACGAACCAATGTTACACTTGTACCTTTTTGTTTGTTATCAGGGGCTGACCTCAACAGAATACTTTTCCATGTTTTTTCCCGATCGGGACATCACTGTCCTCATTCTCATGGCGGGCAGGCCCACACTTACTCAGCTTTCCTATGTGCTCACAGCCACAGCCTTTCAAATTGGCAGCCATGCTGCACAATTGCAGGATGCCAACTAGGAATGGCTTTCAGCAAAGCAGGCAGCACCACATGCTGCCCTGGACACGAGTCTGCCCCTGACTGGTGGGCTGAAGCAAGATCGGGCTTCCCAGAATTCGGGTTCAGTGCTCAGACGGTAACAGGGCTCAAGATTCCTGGTATACATACCATATATTCCTGGCATATATATGCAGTGGCACACTCCTTGTCCTGCAGCCGTCAGCCCTACCACAACATAGCCGCCCCACAAGCCTGGCTAGATTATAGGGATCGACAAATGTAACCACTGACTGAATGCCAGACTCACTGACTTGCACCTTTCCTTGCGAGGAAGACAATCTTAAGTTTACTTGCTGCCATGAGTAAGCAGATTCCAAAGACAAACTTGCAAGGTCCTTGTGTCGGGTCATTCGTCCCACAACCCTTGCATGCCATTGTGCGTGCCTTTGGCAACTTTCATGTCAAATGCTCAAATGGTCATGTCTTGCATTTGGTCCCATTTGAGTTGATCAGTGCCAAGGAGGAAAAAGAAGCACTACAGGGAAAAAAACTTGTTCAGGCGGCCCAGTGTCCATCACTGTCCAAGTGCTTCCACAGCTAGCAAAGAATGAAATCTAAACAGACATCCACTACGATCTACAGAACAAAAAATGCAGTCGAACAGTTCCAAAGAAGGGGTACAATGCATATGCCCAATGCCACCATCTGGGGAAACAACTTTCCTTCGCCAGGCGACAAACACAATCAAGGCAAGGATTCGACTGTACAACGCACACGATGGGCTTTCAAGAGTTCCAGGGAACCGCCTCCACACATGACTGGCATCTCCTTGCAGGTGCACAATTTTGTCATCGGACACTGTGCAACCAGTTGCTGCATTCTGGCCCAGTGTCACTGACGAGAAGGCTGGGCAGAGTCTAGTCCACTCAACTGCATACCTCTACAGTGTGGTGGAAACTAAGCTACCTTCTCCTTGGATCTATCTGAGTACACTGCACTTCATGGAGCATCAACCACTTTCGTTGCAGCAAGGAAACGGCACTGGTGACACGAGTTTGGACACATCCTGGCAGGGCTTGGTGAGTAGCGCGACCACCGATTCCCACAGCATCCTCTTGAACAAGTTTGCCGCTCAGCAGATTGCTTGGCAACGCTCGCAGCCATAGCTCAGGACAGAACATTGCTGCTGTTACACTGGGCGACCGCTGTGACTGCTGTCGCAGCTAGCCTAGCGTAGGCTCTCTACATCGCCTTCGTGGCGTGGAAATGAACCTCCAACCTTATACTTTCATACCCCGCTTGGCATTATTGATACGATCAAAGCGCGCATTTTTTCTTCCCTCTGCAACTATGTCCGCTGCCGTTTGCAGGACCCACCGCTAAGTCATCAGGGTTCATGAGTTCGTATCTTGCACGAACGCAGAAAAGCTCGTCGATGGGGTTGAAGGAAACGGGCATCTTCGCAGCACACAAAAGTGTCAACCTTTGGTAATTGTGTCGTTGCCTTCTAGCAGCCATGCCACGCAAATTATCACCGACGTAATACAATGTCAACGCGGACAGCATCACTTCCGAGCACTATTCACTGCGCAAGGGCAGGCAGCCTGACACGCAGTTGACACTTTCCTCCCAGGCATGTACTTCTGTACCAAATTAGCCAGTTGCTTGCATCAATTTCCCCGAAAAACCACAACCCAAACTTTTAGGTCAACGTTCCGTGCACATCCACAGCATTTTGATGCGGCGTGAAATGGAACGCTGAAGAGCCACGGCTCTTACAAAAAGGCTTCTTCCTCTGTGCAGAAATTCAAACGACACTCCCCAAACAACACGCTGTCAACTGAACGGATTTGTTGCCGCCTCCAGGCAGCCCACAGATTCGCCACAGCGCCAATCAGTCATCGCGTCAATGCTCACTGGCCGGAAGCCGGAAGCCGGCAGCCTGCTGCGAACCACGCGGCGAATTCTTCCCTGCATCCACACACCCTCCCTCGTAGCCATGCAATCTCGTGGCCCCTGCGATTCCCTCGTACAGCATCCCATGCACATCGGATTCGTAAACCGGTCCCCCTGACCGACACTCGGCCCCCCGCACCCCCCATCAGCCCCCTTCACGGGGCCTTCTTGGCTGTCGACCCGACGCGCCCACGCCATCGACCCCTTCACGATGGCGACAGCCCGGGCCTGTCACCGATCGCTGCGACCCCTCACCTCTCTTGCCGTGCCACCCAACAAAACCCCGCTTCCAAGCCCCGCGGTCCTCCTCCCCACACCCCCTCCAAAGCGCTGGAACATAGCACGGCCATCCGACCGCCCCCGGGATCGCCTCGCCCCACCGACACAAAAATCGGTGCCCAAATTTGCCCTGCCGCGGAACTCAAACCTCACGTGCGTCAATCTCGGACGGGCGATACTCCATCCCGGCCTTTCAGCCGCCCATTCGCCCGTCAAAAATTCGCGCCCACCCTCCCCTGCCGAGATCCGCCCGGGCAGCCGTTCCCAGGGGCAGCATGCCGGCCGCACCTGCGCCTGGCTGAACCACGGCGCCGTCGCGAACTTGGCGACATCCAGGCCCCTGACCGCGTCGAAGTCGGGCGGCGGGCAGACGGCCGGCTGGCCGCCGGCGAGGCTCCACACCAGGGCGATCACGGCGAGCAGGGCCCCCGAAAACCGCCCACACATCAGCCGACCGGCCCCAAAAATCTAAGGCGTCGGCAGGGGCCCCGAATGCGCGTCCTGTGAATCGTCTGTGTTGCCGAGGGCCGTCGGTCGTGGCAGGGTTGCCGGGCAGGAGAGGCAACGGGCGGGGGGGGAGGGGCTCGATGGGCCCCAACCGCCCAGGATCGCGTGCGCATGAATTTTTGAGGGGCAATTGGGCGGGGCTTCAAATAATAGGCGCGAACTAGGGGTTGTGCGCGGTTGTGCGGGCGGCAGCGGGGCGGGCGTAAGGCAGGGAGAGGAGCGATGGGACGCGCATGTGTGGCGCACGTGTCTCATCGTTACGAGGCGCGCACAGCGCACTGTGCAACGGGGTGTGCCTGGCATTGCTGTGGATCGTGATGAATGAATGGGGCATTTGTCATGGGTGCGCATGGGCGCTGGGAATGTCGGGAGGGAGGCCGCAGCGATGAGCGGCGGCTTGAGGCGCCACCTGGGGCGGGTGCCGCGCCTTTTGAGGGTGAAGGACTTCGCGGAGGCGCGGAGACCGGAGGCAAGCGTTGAGCCAACCCCTTCTCTTTCATCCCTGGTCATGGCATCTCACGCGAGATCCGGGAATGGCGGCCTCGGATGGCAAGCAGTCTCGAACACTAAACGTGTCGGCAACCCGGCACCTAAGCAGGGTGCCAATCTCCCGCGGAAATTCGTGGGCGCCAGACGAAAACGGAAAAGGGGCGCGTGAACGTCGTCACCAAGCTCAGTTGTGCTCATGGACGACGAAATCTGGAAGCTCGTGCTTGCAACAGGACCAAACGGATGCGGCCTGCTCTTGTATCAAGGCATTTTACAGCAGCGCACACGCGCCACAACTTGTTATTGACATCCACAACTTCCTATTCTCCAGGTCCTCTTGATTCTTGTCGTTGGTCTTCGAAGTGATATGGCACGTTTCGCTGATATGCAGATTGCTGCTCTTGTTGATTACGTTCAAAGCGCACAAGGAGGCGGAAAAGGAGCTGCAGTGCCGGGGAGGAAGAAACGTTGGAGGTACCCCGTTTTGAAATCCATTGATGGTTGAACACAAAATCGCAAATGTAACGAGCTTTGTTCATGTTCAGCAACACATGGGGAAAAGAGCAATGGGCGGCACATGTGTGTTTGTTCCATGGATAGTGTGCACGCTAGACCCTGCAAAATAGCGGCACCGAACTTTCGCACAATGCGTGCACAGGATGGCTTCCGACATGGAATCTGCTCCCAGCTGATTGAAACACATAAAAAGTTGCTCAGACCCATCAGCGCTTCTGCTTGGCTGTTACTTCACAATATATACTTTGAATAGTGCATGTTATTGCTGGTGCTGCATGTGCCACACGGACAGTTGCAAAACATCGGCAAAGGTGAATTGCAGAGCAACATTATGGGATAGCCACTTCCATATGATCTTCATTCTGGCCTCAGATTTTCTAGTCAGAGACTTATGCCACTCTTTGCACTCTGTGGGCATGGGGGAGGTTGACAATATGAGAAATCTGAGGCAACGGGGCATAAAGAGGGCATCTGAAATGTGATGAACAGGGCATTGTGGATGCAGCACTGCCCAAATTCACCTTCATATGATGTAGCGCAATGTGGAAGCACAGTTCTCCCATGTGGGAGCAAATTATATCAATGGAATTCCGGATTTGCCCAATGACACTCTGTTTTGTCAGGCCCAATTCTTGCATTGTTGCAATGCTGCCTTTGAGCGGCGCGCAGCTGCAGGCCCAACAGCGACTTATAGGGCACGGTTCTCGTTCATTCTTGCCATTCCTGTGCCGTTACTGTTCAGATAATGTGTGGCATGGTGACTGGCTGGGATTGGGTCAAGAAGGGGGTCGCTGATGCCTTTTTGTGTTGCTGATTGCAGGCGCACGGCTAGCTTCGTACGGCATCAGTTTGGCAAGATCCATGGTGACTCAGCAGCATTGGCTGGCAGGAGCAAGAGGCGTAGACGGACAAAGGTTGATTGGTGTTTTCAGTTGGTTTGTGTGCTCTTAGCCTGACAAGCTGGCATTTGGCAGAGAGTTGGGAAAAACCAAGGAGCAGGGCATCCAATCGACTCTCACTTGCGAAAACGGTTGTAGCTCTATCCCATCGTGGAAGAGAAGTTGGACGATTCTGAATTATTGAGAATGAGCATGCAAATGTAGATAGTTGTTATCTGGAAACTCTCTTGGCACCAGTTGCGTAGTCTTCGAGATGCTTGCCAGGGGCTCACAAGGAGGGGCAATGGGGCAGGTCCAACCTCCCTGTCATTTTTGTCTTATTTGCACGGCATGTTGTGAAGGAGCAAGTTAGAAAGATAAGAAAAGATGTCAGTTCATGATGGGAACAGCTGTCGATCAACCCTGCAAGGACTGGTCTGTGGTGATGGGTCTGCAGAGGGCATACTCCTTTGAGACTATGTGCGACAATAGTCACGTGCCAACACTGTGGCCTCAGGAAAGACATGCATGTAACACCATGTACGCCACGGCATCAATAATTGTTTTGTTGAGCATCACTGGAATGGAACAATCATGTGTGATCTCCAAATGCAGTGCAAGTACTTTGCCCTATCAAGTGCTGACAAGAATCGCATCATCAGTACAATCCAGCTGACCAAATAACGTTCACTGACAGCTGGGTGTGCAATTTTTATGTGCCCAGGATGGAAAAATTCGATCCTCCGTCCGCCTTCCTGGACGGCTGCAGAAGTCCATCAATGAAAGCTGCGCGAAGAATGCACCAACGACTTTGGACGTTGGAGCTGCAGGTGAAGTGGCATCCGGCAGGAAGAGGCGATGTCTGGAGACACATCTATGGCATGCAAAACGCATGAAAATGGTGAACAGGTGGGGCATAAATATGCTAAGGCACAGAAAAGACACTGCCCTTCCACCCCCCTTCCACCTCCTTCAGGGCGGTGATGGCTTGATTCCATTCATGACTTTGTGCTGAGATGCTGACTGATCTGTGTTCATTCAGAGAACCCATGAAACTTGTCAGATCCAATTCCAGAGAAATGGAATAGATGGGTTTGGGTTCCTGATTGTGTCAGGAAAGTATGGGCAGCGGCGCTGATCGCTGTTTTCGTACCCAGGGGGCCCAATGCCACAAAGATTTGAAGATTGGGCAGCCTGCTGTGTTTGCTTTGTAAATTTGAGTGTATTGACTCATTTCTGTTCGTGTCTTTGAGATCGCATGAGACCGTGCGTTTGACATCGTGTGGGTTGTTGATATCTTGTTTTCTCAGACAGGATGGAAAGAAGGCTTTGACCCTGAAACCCAGTTAGACATGCCAGAGGCATGGAAGTCCACCTGAAGTTCACATCGCCAACTGTAGAAAGTTATGCCCTGCCTTTTTATTGCCTTTGCAGGTGGCAGCACCGTCTGGCTTTTGGGTATTGTGGCAAAGGGCACACAAGCCGTGGAGTGTGCAAACAGCTTGCACAGGGTTGTGTTCTGCATGATGCGTCGTACTGGGTGCCATTTCGGTTGTGTGGAAACTTTGATGACATAGCACTCACTCTCAGGAGCCTAAGGTAACGTAGCCCGGACAGTGCCCTCCTTGCTTCATCCCATTGCTGTGGTGCCCAGTTCCACAACGTATTACAGAGGTTTGGTGGCTCCCTGGAGCTAGCTAAGCACTGGAGGCCCACAGAGACCCACAGAGTTGCTGGTCTGTTGCTGTGGCTGACTGTGAGGCTGCCTGTCTGCCTTCTCAACCTTGCTGCAGTGCTCCGCATTTCATGAGGAGCAAGACAAAATTTGTGCCATACATCACAGATTTGACACGCCAGTGAGCAAACAGGACAAATGAAACTCCTGCACCTCTGGCCTTTGGACCATCCATCAATTTCTCCTTTGTAGCAGCAATTGTCTCCCATTTTTCTGTCTCCTACATCGTGTGGTGTACGTCTTATTCCGCAGACCACCACAAACATCCCTGGACAGCTATAGGTGCAGAAACTCTCAAGAACCTTGCCCACCGCTGAAATTGCTTCAGAATGGGATGTGTGCAGTGACCCTGAGCAGGTTGATAGATGGCTGTCCATGAGGGGCGTCAAAGATGGGGCAATGGAGTGGTCACTGGTGGTCCATCGATCGAACAAATTTCCAAGCAATGCTCTGGGACCTGTCAGGCTCCTGTTGCTGCCATCATGCCTGTCCAAGGATTTGGCTGAAGGGTCAGCAAGTGACCCAACACATTCAGCAGATGCTGCTGGAGGGGCAGTGAGGGAGCTGGTAGTCTGGGCACACTGTGCTGCTTATGCTGAGATCTTCCAGGAGTTCACTTCTCAGCTCGAGAGCATAGGCAAGTGCACAGCTATCTCATAGTGGACACTTGGCCAGAATTCTGTGCTGTGCTTGTGTGTCCCTGTGCTTGTCCGTCCTGTGCTTGACACATCCAAAGGACTGCAAATCCATGCCTGTTCGTTCAGATCATTGCTCCATGGCCTATGTTACGTTGCTTTCAATGAGCTGCATCAACACAGCATATTTTGCTATCCTGTGGATCTGCAAACCACAATTAGAATCGCAATGGTTCATTCAACACGTTCGTTTTCTTATGCTTCTCACTGCTGCTGCTGTTACTTGTGCCTTCTTTGATATCTTCTCCTGCTGTTTTCCTAATTGTTGGTGCTCTGATGCTGTGGGGAGACCAGGGGACTGCATTTCTTCTGAGGCGGTGCCTCTTGGCCGGCACCTGCGTCGCTTGGAGCTCTGGGGTCCCCAGGCAGGGAAGGTTTTGGCCAACACGATCCGAGAGGCCAAAGTCAAGGGCGCTCCCCAAGCATGGACGAAGCTGTGCAAACAAGGTGCGCGATGGGTGCAGTGGCAGGAGAATACACTCCACAACATATATTTCTTCCCCAAACACCCACTCTATGCCGCTATCTGGAGATGACTTTCCAACTTGTGAGAGACGGTGCAGATATGTATGGAAGCACAAGGTGTCACAGGTGCAACAGCAGACTAAACAATGTGGGAGACTGAATTGTCTTCTCCCAGAAAATGTAGCACGGATGCCTGGACCAACGAAGGTGGGCAGTATTGAAGGCAGATCTGGCTGTTGAGGCCATCATATGGCTCCCACCATATGCATTGGGCAGTGGCAATTCGTCAACTAAAGTTTCACAAACTGCAGCGCATCAATTTCTCCAAAAATACCCAGAGATAAGCAAAGCTTTTCTCACGAAAAGCTCGCTCACCAAAGTCAACGTTCTGACAGTTATGACAAAAAGAGAATGACAAACAAATTTGGCATAAAAGGTGTGAGAGCTTACTACTAAATCCTGCAAGAAGGCCGATGAGAGACATTTGGTCACCAAGAAAGAAATGTTGAGAAGATCTGCAGTGGAAGAAGAGAGAACGTGCCTATTGCATATGTTGATGCATTGTGCACATGCATGTTTGTTGTGCTGGCTGTCGAGCTGCTCCAATGTTGTCAATGCTGCCATCGACCACACAATTCAGTGTGTTTTCTACATGCAATAGGAAGATGCAACAACGGCTTGACAGATTGACGCATCTTGCAACCACGCTGTCTATTTCTTGTTGCCTAGTGGGAATTACCAGGCTGCCTGCTGTCCACCTCTCTCCCTCTACCATGATGCTCAGTGCCATTTGCACTGACTTGTCTGACAAACAGGAAATGCAGTTGGAACAGAATTCTGCAGAAGAACAGCTGGCTAAAACTTTTCTGATGCTGATTCTGTGATTGTGTCACTGGTTTGTATATTTGTTGCCCGTTCTTGCGATTTTGACGCTCTTCTTTTTTGTTCACACCAGGACTTGCGCTGAATGTGCCCAGTGGGGTGGCAGTGGGTTTGATGGCACAGGACCCTCGCATGGTCCGGCCCATCGCGATGGCTGATAAATTTGTCGAAACTGGGGCGAGGGCGAGTGAGGCTGCACAGCCTGTTGGCAAGTTGGGGTTTCAGTCAGGATGGCCGTATATGCATGGAACCGATTTTGAGTCTTGAGGATGAGCTGAGCGATTGAGCCTGATGGACGAGTTGCTCCCAGTGTGGTGTTGCCCCACCTTCCAAGCAATGTCCTCACATTTTCAAAACATCTGTACCAATTGGTGATGCTGTTTCCATCACCCAGGGTCAACTACATGTCTGGGGATGCCTGGATCAAATCCACAACGATATCAGGCATCGTTTTGGTGCACCACCAATTCAGCAGATCGTTGACAACAACTGCATGGAATGGCAGGTGCTTGGCTCATGGCTTCAGCCCCACTGTGGCGCATGAACAGCCATCCCCTCGCTCCACCCCACTCTGCAGGGGATGTCGGGCGCTGGCGCAGCCAGGTTCGAAAGCAGAGCCTGGGGATTGTTAGTGGTCGAAACCAGAAACGGGGCAGGAAAGGTATTGGGAAGGGGCTTGTGCATGGTGCAAAGATGGGAATATCTCAGCCACTTACGGAAGGGTGTAAGAGACAGAGGGGTGGAAGACGCATGCAGGGACGGCATGGGGCAACATCGTCATGTACATGTCCTGTGCTGCTGGTTCACAATGAGGCTTGTGGCACTTCTGGATGGTCTGTGATTCTGCCCAGGCGATGGGCAATTCCATTCTGGAGGGAGCTGGTACAGTCCGGTGAGCACTTGATAAACATTGGCCAACCACACAACGTGTGAGCGGCGTCCTTGAATTTCTTTCTGATTATAGAGAGTTAGGTGTGCTATTTCCTTAACTGACCAGATTAGCTGGCTGCTCTTTATGACTGTGGAACATTACAACAGTCCCAATTGTTTGCACAATGCCTGTACGCCACATACCACCACCACCATGTGCTGTTTGCTGCACTAATGAACAACAAATACGCAGCATGCGAAATGGGTGTACGTTGATCTGTTCTCAATGTAAGAAATTTCAGTTCAGTCGGTTGAAGCCCTTTTGTTTGGCATTCTAGTATGGGATAGCATGCTGGTATTGGGAGAACCAAGCATCTGTTATCGATGACAACCATCGCTGTTGCACATGCAAGGGGAATGATGCCTAAATC